ATTGAAGAGACTACTTATATAGCATTTACAATTTAGAGCTTTAATTTAGGGACACTTTATTTTTTTAATTCCAATTTCATATTCTCACCAAAAGTTACTTTGTCTTGTTTGTTTGTTTACTTGTCTGACTGTATCATTCTTCCTACCTGTTTCTTGCAAAGGAAACCTGCCATTCAATGACATGGGTGTGTTTTTATGTAGACACTCCACTGGACTATTTTCTTTGATAGCACTGGTTTTTCATTTTCAAAGAGGTTTTTTTTTAAACATTCATCCAAATTGGTCATGAGTTTATGTCCAGGCTCTGCTGTCACTTTACTTTCTGGAATGCTGAAATTTGATGGGGATTTGTTTGAGCTTTAATTCATGTATCCACAGAGAAAAAAAAAGTCTTCTCAGTTAGGCTAGAATGGATAGAAGCCTGATGTTCTGAGGGATTGCACATCTTGAATGCAGGCATGATATTGTGAAGCATAGAACCCACAGAAATTTAAATCTAACCATATTTCCCCTCCCCCACTTAGAGATTTTTTTGGGTTTTCCCCAATCCACTTTTAATTGAGATGCATTCTGTTTGCCATATGAAGGTTTAAGTTAGGGGAGAGGGATTGGTGAATATATTTAAAACGGAATAAACTCTGAGGCAATTTCCAAAGGATGGTTCCACCCCAACTTCTTTTTATATGAAATGTGAAATTCTCAGAAGACTGCATATTTTATAGATTAGTGGTTCTTGCTTATGAATATCCAAAGGCCAGCATGCAATGCCTTCTCTTTCTTACAGCTGGAAAAATCTCCATGCAGGGTGGACACCCAAGCGCAGATCTGTTCTGACTGGATAACTAGAAGGACTGTTAGGTGGACCTGGCTGTTTAGATTAAAATGCATTACAGGCCCTGTGAACAAGCATGCATCAGTAGTAAAGGCTGTTTAAACCTTTGGGGACAGCCCTATATTTAGATTACATTAATTCATAAATATTATACTAAATACCACTTAAATTGGACTTAAATGACTTCAAAGATAATGCATTATAATATGGCTGTCCAGAGAGCACTAGTCTTTATGTCTCCCAGTAACTCAGTCTTCTCAGCCTCCTAACCTGCTAGACAAGACCAAAGTTATGAATGGATTGCTAAATTGTTCATGTGTGATTTGATAACTCTGCATATGTGGGTGCCACTTGTGTTTTTATGTGGTTCCTACTTCTGTTCTCTGTACCCAAACCCCAGGAAAGAAGACAATGAGGATGAAATACATAAAAGACAAAAATGAGAAAGAGAGGAACAGGAGGAAGAAGAGAAGGAAGAGATCTCTCCCCATACCAAAAGAAGTCTCTCTAAGCTTGGTCTCATCTCACTCATAATGCTAACATAGGTGATATAGGTCTTCTTTAATCAGTAGCACAAATCTTTCCTCTTTGATGACTAGAAAATAAAATCCTCTTCCAAAGTGTTTCTAATGGTATGGGACATGGGAAGGGATGGGATGGGGAAGAAAAAATCCTTAGAATCTGAGAGTTTTCACTATCTGAGTGTTTTGTTGTCATCTGCCCACTCTGACCTCATTTTATTTTCAATTAGTGTCCCATTAGCAGAGTGAGAATGTACCTTTAAAAACCATCTTGCCATAACACCATCAATATCTCCCCTAGAAGGGTAGCTCTCCTCTCCTCTGATAGAACTGTCTTTTTTCTTCAGTACCTTTAAATACTCCTTTTACAGTACCACAACCTTCCAATTTGACTTAAGCTAATTCTTTTTTAAGGTTTCTCTCCACCCAACAGACATTCCATTAACTCTTGGGGTTAGTTCTCTTACCCAGCTACATGAAATGGAAGGTAATGGTTTAAAATAACTTGATCAGGCAACTGATTTATTTATTGGTTTGTTAATTTGGTTATTTATTTATTATCAATTAATTAATAGACACATTAGTTAGTAGCTTTCAAGGCTAGTGTCTTACCAAATCTTTCAGTTCTATCCCAACTAGGTTCATTAAAAGTTGGAAATTCAGCAAGGAGTGAGCAAGATACACCAGCAATCTTTCATCCCTGATTTAACAAAAGGCACCATTTTCATATTTTCCCTCATGTTGTCGATTTAGAGGTGGGGGGGGACTAGAAGCTAAACACAATCTTCATTCTTCAAAGTCCCATCATGCTTTTTGACTTAATGGTAATTAATCACCAATGGCAAGAGAGGGGTTTTTTTGTTTTTTTTTTCAGTAGCCAGAGGCTTATTTTTATCAGGATTAGCTAATAAATCAGGCAGCATCACAGAAGGAGGAGTTCAAACTCTTCTTGGACTGAATAAAACAGACCTCAGAAACTGTATCATTTATTTAGCTCTCCCGAAGCTCCAAGTGCTGTCAGTGACATTCATAGCCGAGACTCGCTCTATAAAAAACGAGGGGAATGGGATATGCAGAAGTTTCATAGGGGAGAAAATGATGCCCGGATTTGGAGGGTAAGCTGCTGCAGTAAGGAGGGCCAAGTAAATACACCCTGGGCCACCAATTGGTTTATCTACTACTGTCAGTAGAGATAATTTGAGGGTCAAAACATTCATAAAAATGGGATTTTGCCTATCCCAGACAGCTTGGTTAAGTCTATGTAAACCCATACCACAGCACTATTTCTCTTTATGATGCTGATAATTTTACTTACATATGCATGATAGAAAAATATAAAATAACATAACTATCACCCAACATATAGTGATTGTATCTATAACTTCATTTCAAGGAATTTGAAAACAAATCAATGTAAATTGTAAAAGTTTGCCCAGATCAGAAATAAATAAATAAGTGGCTTTTTCTTGTTCCAGATGCAATGGTAAATCTGTCTCTTAGAATATGCCCTTTTCCTCCAGTGGATTCTGAATATTTTTGTGTGTAAACTTTAAATTCTTCCACGACTGAACGTGATGTCCATTTTGATGGAGAAAGAGCTCTTTTTTCTATGATTTTTTTTAAAAAATGGAACAACAAAAATAAGAAAATAGCATTGTTATGCTTCTAGGAAGCTTGATTAAAAGGAGAGAAAGCTACAAGGCTACAGTTAACCCCAGGAAGCTAGAGTGGGTGGGGGAAGGAAGGAAACGAATAGTATTTAGGAAGCTATCTCTCCCCACTCCATCTCACCAGTCTCTTCTGAACAGATATTTTCTCCAAACTGAATAAGGGTGATAATCTTTCACTCCCTACAATCCTCACAACACCCCCTCACCCAAACTAGTATATTTCTCTGTTTTTGTGCCACTCAACATGCCATTAACTTTAAGATTTACTACTCAGCAGGCAATCTGGAATACGTTAAAGCCAATAAAACTGCTCTCTGGGACTCCAACTACAAGAGTTTGGCTGCAGGTCTGCTTGATATTGGGAATGGAGGTAGGGTGAAGAAGTACAGAGGGAAAATAGTGGTAATAAAAACCTCTGTTTAGGGAAAACAGACATCCCCACACCCAGCACCCAATGTACTAGAAGATCAACCCTTACAATAGCCAGCGTGTAGCAAGGGAGCAGGCTTCCCAGCTGGACTGTGTGTGTATTTTTTCCTTTGAAATCACCAGCCCTTACACAGTAGTTTTGGAATCTCTCCATACTTATGTTTATTAAAAATTGGTTTTACATGTACATTATCTACAACTTACTCAGCCTGGTGCTACTTCCCTGCCTCAGCAATCAATCTCTCTCTGAGAGCATTTAACTTGCCCACACCTCTCAGCCTCCTATTAATCCCAGCTGCACATCCTATACATTAGTGTAAGGGAGCGAAGTGTTGGGCTAATTTCGTCACCCACCAGCCACCCACACACGGTCTACAACTGAGCACGTTTGGGGCTCTGCTTTAATGAGAATAAAAAAGGAGGAAAAAAAAGGATGCTGCAGAAAATTCCCATTGCCCCTTCCTATAAAAAGTTACTAGTTTTTTTTCTTCTTCCTCTTTCTCTCTCTTCCCTGATAGTAACAACAACCAGAACTTACAACTGCTTCAAAGGATAGGGAGAAAATATTTTATGAAGCTCCTTGCCTGGTAGGCTTAGAATTGATCTGTGTCTATCTTCTGAAAATATATATTATCACCACATATATTTTCCAAAACCCAGGTCTCCCTAGCAAGTGACTGGCACTGTTTTCTGGATCTCCTCCCCCCATATCTGTTTCTCTGTCTCTCTCTGTTTCTCTCTCTCTCTCTCTCTCTCTCTCTCTCTCTCTCTCTCTCTCTCTCTCTCTCCTGTGATGTGTTTTCCCTTCCTGATTCTTCCTCCCATGCATTGTCACTTATGCCTTCAAATATCCAACTCAACCCTTTTCTCTCCCCCCCCCCCAATTCCCCTCCCTTTGCCAGGTCACTCAGGCATGAAGCTTGAATGTACAGGGGAGTTTACTGCTAAAATGATACAGAGAAAAAATCACCTTAAGCATTTAACACCCCCACCCCCACCCCAAACCCCCATTTAGGCAGCTGTGCTGATACTACTATGGACCCAAAAAGAAGAGGAAGAGAAAAAAAAAAATCTTAGTATTTTCAGCACCACATCTGTGGACAGCACCCGTTCTTGAATCCTCAGACCGCTCAACACTGCTACTCTGTACATTCTACCTAACCATTTTCAATCCCAACCCCTCAAGTGGCTCTGTACCCCGACCAAAATCAAACCCCGCTCTCATTTCTTTTTGCTCTCCCTCTCTTTTCCTTCCTTCCCAGGAGAATATCCTATCCCCCCATTCTTTCTCTTTGCCATCTGTCTAATCTTTTCCCTTCCCCCTAAAACCAACCTTCTCCCCTACTAAACATCCCCCCTAACACCCCCACACCCTTTCCTGTTCCTCCTCCTCTTTTTTCCTCCCCCAGGATATCTTCTCCCTCTCTCTCTCTCTCTCTCTCTCTCTCTCTCTCTCTCTCTCTCTCTCTCTCTCTCTCTCTCTCTCTCTCTCTCTCTTTCTCTGTCTCCTTTTCCACAGCAAAGTTAAGAAGGAAATCGTCCACTAACCTTTGTGCATGCCAGTGAACCTGTCCTTCAGAACCGTCAGCTCGTAGATCTTGCCAAACTCCTCGAAGAGGGGCTTGAGGTCTTTCTCGTCCAGGTTTCGGGGGATCTGCCCAATGAACAGCTTGATGGCATCATGGTCCTTCATGGGAATGGTAGACGGGTTCCCCGGGCTATGGTTTAATCCGTTCATGTGCCCGTTACTGCCCGGGCTGCCGTGACTGTTGTTACTGAGGCTCGTATTGTCAGCCTGTCCGTTTGCTAACGTAGCCATCTTTATATACATAGAGAAAATCTTCTTTCCTTTTATTCTTTCTCGCTCTCTCACTCTCTCACTCCCTCTCCCTCTCTCTCTCGCCCTCTCTCTCGCTTTCACACACGCACACACATACACACACACTCAGTCTCTCCCTCTCTACACCTCTTCTCTCTTCTCCTCTCTCTCTCTCTTCTCCTCTCTCTCTCTCTCTCTCTCTCTCTCTCTCTCTCTCTCTCTCTCTCTCTCTCTCTCTCTCTCTCTCCTCTCTTCTTTCTCTCTCTCTCTCTCTCTCTCTCCTCTCTCCTCCCTCTTTCTCTTCTCTCTCTTCTCTCCCTAGGTCTGATCTGATTTTTTTTTTTTTTACATTGAACAGACAGGATCTCTGTCCTTTCCGTTTAAACAGGCTGGACCAGTTCAAGTTCCCAGCCAGACTAGGGGGTGGGGGCGGCGTGTGTGTGCAGGGGGGGGTGGGGGGAGACGGGCCTGGGAGGGGGGAAGAGAGGGAAGGGCTCAAGGGAGACTGAGACGGGTGGGGAGGGGAAGGAGTGGGGGCTGGCTTTCGTTGGCTTTTCTCCCCCACCCCCCCACCTCCCCCCGTCTGCCAGACCCAGAGAGACACGGTGGTACCTTCCAAGACAGCCCCAGGCTATAAATAGCGCCAGGCGCATGGCTCTTCGGGAGGCGCTGAGATTCGGGGGCCAAGCGAGCGAAGGGGAGCGAGTGCATTTTAGGAACGGGGCTGGCTGCCTTTCGTATTTGTCTTTTTTTAATTTTTTTTTGGGGGGTGGTGATGGACTGTGGTAATAGAAGTAGGTGTAACATTTTTTTGGGGGGAGGATATAAAAACATTGATTTTTTAAAATTTGAGTGCGTGTGTGTGTGCATGTATGCGTGTATGTCTGTGTCAGGGGCCATCCCCTGCCGAGGCGCATTTTATTAGCCAGAGAGAGAGGGAGAAAAGAGAAAAAAGAAGGAATAGGAAAGGAAGGAAAGGAAAGGATGGTGGGGCGGGGCGGCGGCAGCGGTGGAGGTAGAATGGGCGGTTTTCCCCCTTCGTCCTGATTTATTTATTTATTTATTTCTAATATAAAAAGGCTGCCGGGTTGTAGAGGATCAGCCACTGATTAATCAGTATATATGGAGAAAGTGCTACATTAATATATATCATGTATATAGATCATTTATAGATAAGAACTCTCTCTCTCTCTCTCTCTCTCTCTCTCTCTCTCTCTCTCTCTCTCTCTCTCTCTCTCTCTCTCTCTCTCTCTCTTTCTCTCCCCCCTCTCCCTTCCTTGCATCCCAAAGAGCAGCCACAAATTCCTCCTCCCCCCGTTTATCTCACGCATCGGTGTAGGTTCCTGAGGGAAAGGGACAGGCACAGCTCTGTTGGGTGTGTGTGTGTGTGTGTGCAGGATGAGAGACAGGTTTGAGGCTTGGGGTTCCCCCCTCTTCTGTCCTCAGCTCAGATAGGGCTATATGTGTAAGTCTCCCACCCTGGGTACGATTCCCTTCCTGGGCGTTGATCTACTACAGCAGAGGGGCCGGCACCCCTGTAGGGCCGGACTGGGCTCACTGGGCGGGGAGGAGAGTGTGGTGGGGGGACTGAGTGACTAGTGGAGGGAATGGATGGATGGGCGCCACTCGGATCTTCTTGCCGCTTACATCGGGGGCGGGGGAAGGCGCGTAGCCCGGGGGTGGGAAAGGCGGGAGCTTGGGAAGGAGACTTTATCTGGGTCTCCTCTGCTTTCCTGGCTAGAATTGAAATTTTCTTTTTAAATCCTCCACCAAATAAATATATAAGTGAATGAATAAATTAACCTGGAAAGCGAGCCCTGCTGCTACCGATCCCGGCTCGATGAGGCACAGAGTGACTGCTGCTCTGCTGGCGAGAGTCGCCACCTCCCCTCCCATCCCCCAGATGTGCGTTTGGCATCTAGAGGCAGTAGGGGAGGTGGGGGCTGACACTGGATCCGCGGGAGGGGACAGCAAAGGAGTATGGGGAGAGGAGTTGTGAGTGTGTATGTGTGTGTGTGTACGCGCGCGCGCGTGTGTAAAGGGGGATGATGAAAACTGGGGGCGTCCATCTCGCCCACGAGGGGACTGTGGATCAACCAGGGGAGGGCGTGAGTTGCCAGAGCAGGAGTCCAAGTCTCCTTCTCTACGAGCGGATTATGCTTCTGGTCTTGGGGCAGGCGCGGATTTTAATAGGATTCCCCCACCCACCCCCGCCCCATCCCGCAACTGTGTTTTTAACCACCTTTCTCCCAAAGATCCCTCCACATTTGTCACCCCACCCAGGCAAAATAAATAAAATTAAAAAGAAATCACCTACCCGGCAGCCCTACAGCTGGTGGAGCGGGAGCTGTCCGCTGCAGGCTTCTCGCTGCTTTCCTTGTTTTCGCTTGTCTTTGCTTCTCAGAAAAAGACTGTTGAATTTATTGTGTATTTTCAAAATTAAATAGCACCCCCTCACACATAAAATTCAGGCGAACCCTCTTTAATAAACCCACACCCGGGCTCCTAAGGGTCACCTCGGCTCCTGCCAGCAACAGCTGAGATTGGGAAGCTTTAACTTAGTCTTGGAACCCCAGGCTGGTCGCTTTTTGCAGCCCTCATCCTGGCGGGGCAATGAGATACAAAGTAATGTTGTGAAAAACGCTGAGTTCTAATCATTCATTTTCAAATTCTCAATGTTCGTTTACCTAGTGTACAATTGGAGCTGAGAAGCATAGCCCTTTATAGACATTTACATATACATATACAATTATTCACCGTGGTGTATAGCATCATATTATTGTACATACAGTATATGCCAGAGGAAAAAAATAACACATACAGAAAGGTGTTTTGTGAGTCTATGTGTGAATTCGAACGAGTGCGGTTATACTGTAGGTAGAGGAGATTGGGGGTGTTTGTGTATATATGTAGATAGTGTGTGTACAGTATGTGTGTTTGTACAGTTGTGTGTATTATTGTTTTTATGCCAGGTCCAAGTCTGTAGGTAGAGTGTATTTGTAAAGTACGAATATGTATGTAGAGATACACAGTGTTTGGCAAATCCGCGTGCCTGCACCTATTTATACACATACCTATGCCTGCCTAGGTTCACCGGGATAGGTCAGTAGAGGTTGACAAGTTTGCCTGGAATTTCTCCTCATAGAAGGTACTAAGGCAACCGAGCTCCCCCCGGAATCCCACACCCTAATGGAATATATTTTCTGCCATAACAACAGAGTTTAGAAGCGTAATGCATTCTTCACGCTGGGTTCGCTCACTCGCTCTCTCATGCCGCCCCCCTCCGCCTTTCCTCCGGCTCAGCGGTGACAATGGAGGGAATCGGCAGAAGGTGAGGACGCAGGAAAGGGGAAGGGAGATCAAGTGTCTCCCCCCCTCCCATTCTCTTCCACCATCGTCCTATCCACCCTCAGCCCTGTGTGAATTATTAACAGATGTTTAATAATTAATATTATTATTAATAATAATAGCCAATACATAAATAACAGCGATGAGGGGGGTGGCGTCTTGGTATGGCTAATGGAAAAAAAGGGAAATTCACTCTTTCAGAAGCTCAGCAAAAATTCAGTTTATATAGAGTATCACTAGCTCCCTCCTAACCCGCTTTTCCCGGCTAACTCTCTAGCGTTTTGACCCAAACCCAGCAAAGAACTCCTTTTTTCCTGGAAGAGAAAAGCCTCGTTGAGTTCACATTTCATTGTCCCCCTTTCCCCCTATCATACAGAGAAGCTGTATTTTGGATGCTAGAGATTGCTGACCCTCAGTAGGGACTACAATGCTTCCCTTCCTTAGCAAACTACAAAGGGTCCTCTATGAAGAAGGGAAAAAAGATGAAGGAGAAGCTCGGCCTCCCAGCGTGCACTGGCTGGCCCGCCCAGATAGAGGCAGCACCTGATACTAAGAGCACAGGGCCACTTCAGTCCCCTTTAAAACTGAGTAACCCTGTGAAAGAGCCGCTGTGGTGAAAACATTGATCTGTTGAAGGCACAGAACTTGATCCCTTACCCTTATGTACTTTTCAACAACAGCAAACTGTTGTGCCTATAAAAAAGCAGGGAGACGTCCCAAATGAATGCCAATTAAAGGAGTGGGACTGAAGAGAGAATCATTCTATTATCTGCCCAGAGTGTTCCTTTAAAGGATCCCCAATATTATAATGAGGCTTAGGCTTGGGGAAAAAAAAATCACTCTCTTCATCAAACAAAAATTAGGCATAGGTGTAAGAAGGTATTGGCTCTTTCTCTCATTTAAGCAGAGCTAAATTATTTTCTTCCAGTTCTATTTTATTTTCACAATAGGGATGGATAATGGAAAGGGGATGTGGTGGAGAATTGGGTGCTTGCTTCATCTGAGAGTTAAGGTGTTAAGATTCTAGTGTCCATTCTACTTAATCCTGGTATGATGGTTGAGTTGTTTTGGGGCCTATCAGCCAGTGTCAGGGTCATCCATATTCCTAACTTTTGTTTTCTGTTTTCTAACTAAATAAGAGGACTTCAAGCATGTGGGATTATAGTCATAGATTTCAAGCTGGAAGAGACTTCAGAAGTCAGCTAACCCAACACACTCATAAAATCATGGATTTAGAGCTGGAAGGAACTTCAAAGGTCATTAAGTCCAACCTCCTCATTTTATAGAGGAGGAAACAAAACCAACACAGGTGAAGTGTTACAAGATAGCAAATGACAAACTAGAGATTCTAACTCAGGTTTTCAGCCTCCAAATCCAGTACTCCTTTTACAGACATTATCTCATTTGATAATCACTTCATCCTATGAAGCACTTCAGAATCAGAATCTTAAAGTTGAAAGAGACCCCACAACCCAGATATAATTTACTCTAACTCAACCTGGACAGAAATTAGCTCTTCAGCATCCCTAGAAGTGAACTTTTAGCTTTGAGTTAAACACCATCAGTGATGAGGAATATATTACCTTCTAAGTCACACCATTCAATTTTTGGACAGCTCTAACTCTTCTTCAGTTATTTCCTTACATAAAAAATAATACACAAAAACCAGAAGCAAACACACCCTGTTTCTCTTTCTCATCTATTCATTGCCCCTAATTCTGCTCTTTGGGGCCAAGGAGAACATGAAAATATGGTGGAGTGGACTGAGTAGGGGGCCCAAAGTCAGGAAATACTGTGATCTCAAATACTAACAGACACTTATTTGTTGTTTGGTCCTGGTTAAGCCATCTAACTTCTTTGGGTCTCTGATTCTTTATTAGAAATAAGAATATCTATAGACTTTGCCCCATAGAGTTGTTATGAGGATTAAATGAGATAATGTGCATGAAGTACTTTTAAGAATCTTACAATACTATCTGTGAATTAGGCAATGTGGCAAACTGAATAGAAGGTCAACCGCTAATTCAAGAAAACCTCCTTCAAGGCCTCCCTTTGTTTCTATGCAACTCTAGGTAAGTCAATTAATCTCTCTATGCTCCAAGGCAACTCTCTGACACTGTAAGTTTCAGAGTAAGTACCTAACTGTGTTGATAGAGAGAACTTATTCCTTACCACTCAAGTCACAGGCATAGTCATTGAAAAGCTCTAAATTATTATTGTCCTTTTCCATATATCATCCCTTCAAATCCTTGAAGACAGCAATCATGTCCCCCACTGTCACCTCCTCCCCAAACTAAGTATCTTCAGTTCTTTCAAGACATCTTGAACTGGTCTCTGGTTCTCCCATCATCCAGACAGCCTGGATTATAATATTGATTATTCCAGATTGTTAATTTTTTGTTCCCCCCCAAAAAAAAATGTGACTTCTAGGGGCAACTAGGTGGCACAGTGGATATAGCACCAGCCCTGGATTCAGGAGGACCTGAGTTCAAATCTGGCCTCAGACACATAACATTTACTAGCTGTGTGACCCTGGGCAAGTCCCTTAACCCCATTTCCTAGCCAAAAAATGTGATTTCTAGAACCCAACATGATAATCCAGACCAGGGCAGGGTTGATAGGGCAAGTAACATCATAATTTTATGTCTGAAGATACTGAGAATTAGTGAGAGGAACTTAAGGTAACTTGCTTAGGAAGCAGTGGAGTCAGGACCTAGAACCTAGGCCATCTGATTCCAAGATCAATTCTTTTTTTTCCATTACACTATCTTTTTATGCTTTTGTCTTTATAGGTCTTTGTCCACGAGTCTAGCCCACCAAGAAAGCTGTCCCTACTCTACTGCCCCTATCCATACCTGAAATGGCTAGGTTTTGTAGCGGATAGAATGTGGAAGACCTGAGTTCAAATCCTTCCTCAGACATATATTAGCCTTGGGATTCTGGGCAAGTTACATGACCTCTTTTTACCTTAGTTTCCTTATCTATAAAATGAGGGTGATAATAATAGCACCTATCTTCCTGGACTGTTGGGAGACTAAAATGAGATAATATATGTAACATGCTTTCCAAACCTTTAAGTGTTATATCAGCTCTAGTTATTATTCTTCAAAATTTCCTCATCATTTGAGGTTTAGTTTATATTATACACTCTCCATGAAGTCTTCTCAGTCTGCACCAATTTTAAGGATACCTCCTTTTTCTGACCTCTTCCAACCAAAATTGTTTGAACCAGTTTATTTTTGGTGTGTAAACTGCATACTTGAATTAATCACTAATTGTTTCCTGTGCATCTTGTCTTCTCTCTGAGGACAAGTTTTTTGTCATTTTCCTTCCTTCCTCACAGCACCTAGAACAGCACTGTACATAGAGTTAGTTCTCTCTCAGTAAAGAGTGCTTTAATTCAATGGATAATTCTTGGCTAATCTGGTTTTGGATGTGCTGGTAGATTTTACCTGTGTGTGTCATCTCTGTCCTAATACCTTCTGCACAGGGAGGCTACTTTACCTCAAATGTTTGTCCTATAGTCTGTGGGAAACTGCCCTTTTGAAGTAAGGAGAGAAGGAGAGAGGGAAGAGAAGAGCAGTAGTGGCTTATGCTCCTGGATACTTCTCAGAGCTCTGGCCAGGCCTCCTGGGGAATTTGCCAGATTGCTGAAGGGAAGCCAGGAGAGGGCTATGCATGCAGGAGGTACCCAGAAACTGTTAACTGGCTGTTTGCCTCCGTTGTTAACATTCTCTCCCTCCTCAAACAACCTTATACTCATTCATTTGTGAATTTGGTGTGGACTTCTAGTAGAATATACGCTCTTTGAGAGCTGACATCCTTCCTTCCTTCCTTCGTTCCTTCCTTCCTTTTTTCCTTCCTTCCTTTCTCTTTCTTTTCTCTCTAGATCTCCTTTCTCTTTCTTTCTATAGATTCTTTCCTTCTTTCCTTCCTCCTTCCCTTCTCTCCTCTCCCCTCCCCTCCCCTTCCTTCCCTTCTCCTCCCTTCTCCTTCCTTCCTTCCTTCCTTCCTTCCTTCCTTCCTTCCTTCCTTCCTTCCTTCCTTCATTTCCCATCTCTATTTCTATCTCCTCTCTTCAATGTCTAGCACAATGTAGTGGATGCTTAATATTGATTAAGTATTCCTTCATTCATCTAGTCAGCTAACCAAACAACCAACCAGTATATACTCAATGCCTCTGGTCAGAACAAGAAGCATTTATTAAGCACCTACTTTATGGCAGGCACTGTGCTAAACTCTGGGGATAGAAAGCAAAGCAAAACAACCAACCAACCAACTCAGCCCTCCATCTCAAGGAGCTCAAAGTCTAATGGGAGAGATAACATGCAAATAAATAATACAAACAAGACCTACAAATTAGAGATAGTCTCAGAGGTAGGGCACTAAGATTAAGGAGGATTTGGAAAGGCTTCTTGTAAAAGGTTGAATTTCAGTGGGATTTGAAGGAAGCTGGTGAAGCCAGGAGACAGAGAATAGTACAGAGAATTCCAGGTGTAGGGAACATTCAGAGAGAATGCTTGAATCAATATTCAGAAGAAGAAATTAAAGCTATCAATAGTCATAGTAAAAATGCTCCAAATCACTAATAATTACAGAAATACAAATTACAACAACTGTGACATACTATATCACACCCAATAGATTGCTAATATGACAGAAAAGGAAAAATGACAAATGTTGGAGTGGATATGAAAAAAATTGGGATACTAATGAACTATTGGTGGAATTCTGAATCAGTCCAACCATTCTGGAGAGCAATTTGGAACTATGCCCCAAAGGCTATAAAACTGTGTGTACCCTTTGACCCAGCAATGCCACTACTAGGTCTATATCCCAAAGAGAAGAAAGAAAGGGGATACCCAGAAGTACAAAAATATTTCTAACAGCTTTTTGTTGTGGCAAAGAACTGAAAACTAAGGAATCAATCCTATCAGTTGGGGAATGTCTGGACAAGTTATGTTATATGATTATGATGGAATATCATTGTGCAGTAAGAAATGATGAAAGGGATAATTTCAGATAAATCTGTGCAGACTTATATGAACTGATGCAAAGTGAAGTGAGCAGAACCAAGTGAATATTATATACAGTAGCAGCAATATTGCGATAATAATCAACTGTCAAATACTTAGCAATTCTGATCAATATAATTATCCAGGACAATTCCAAAGAACTCAAGATAAAACATTCTATCTATCTCCAGATAGAAAACTGATGGACTTTGAGTGCAGATTGATGCAGATTTTTTCTCTTTATTTCTTTTGCATTTTTTATTTTCTGGCCACAAGGCTAATGTGGAAATGTGTTTTACATGATTTCATATGTTTAATAGTTACTGTATTTCTTGTCTTCTCAATGGATTGGGGAGGGGGTAGAGGGAAGGAGAGAATTTGGAACTGAAAATACTATCCCTCCCCCCTCAAAATGCCTGGAGTCAGAAGATAGAGAATCTCTTTTGAGCAACAGTGAGGAGATCAGAATTACTGGATGACAGGGTATTTGGAGTGGAGTAAGAAGTATAAGAAGATGAGAAAAGCAGAGTTTACCCTCTGTTAGGTTATGCTGTGAGGGAGAGAAGATGTCATTCCTGCTACAGAGGAGCTCACAGTCTAGATGATGACATAAGACTTAGACACAGAAAACTGCAATGGCCTCCAGTATGAACTTCATATTACTTGTTTGGCATTTAGAGACTTCCACAATCTGACATTCAGTCATTTTATATTACTCCTCTCTGTTCCAGGGAAACTGGCCTGATGCTTCCCCCCACCACTCCCTCCCACCCCGGCCCCTTACATAGTAGTGTATGTTCTCTTTCCATGCCTTTACGTGAAATGCCTTCACATTTATATGGCTAACATTTATATAGTACTTTAAGCATTGAAAAACATTTTATTGTCTCATTTGATTCTCGCAACAACCTGGAGGAGGTAGGTGCTCTTATTAATGGTCCCTCATTTCTGGAATAAATTCCCTTCTTACCTCTGCTTCATAGAATAACTCAGGTGACACTCCTAAAGCCCTGGTCCTACCAGTTATTAGCCCTGTCTCCCTCTTGAAATTACTTTGTATATAATTTCTATTCACTTGTTTAAATAGCAGGCATCTAGGTGGCACAGTGGATAGAATGCTGGATGTGGAGTCAAGAAGGCTTAAGTTTAAATTTTGCCTCAGATAATAGCTTTGTGTCCCTAGGCAAGACACTTAACTTCTCTGAGCCTCAGTTTCCCTGTCTGTAAAATAAGGATAATAACAATACCTGTTGTTAGGTGCTCAACAGCACCAGGTAGTTTGAGTATAAAAAGAGAAAATATTTTTAAAGTACTTTGCAAACCTTTAAGTGCTACATAAATGTTAGCTATTATCATTATTGTGTAACAGTTGTAACTCTCAGTAGAATACAAACTCCTTGAGGGCAGGTACTATTTCTCATATATATATATATATATATTTTTTATATCCCTAGCCTTTGGCTTAATGCTTTCTACGTGGCAGGCACTTAATAAATGTTTGTTGAGTTGAAATAAATTGCATGAGTTCTGAGGGCTGTGAAACTTTACACATCTTTAAATTCTATATGACCCAGTAGAACTGACTGACTCACCCCCAGAATGTTAGATCCTATGGCTCAGTGACCACAGACTGAGGTTGCTGATGCTTCTCTTTGGGAAAGGGAAACTGGAAGGCTTCTCCTGCTGCTGCCTACTGCCCAAAAGAGACACAACCTTATTACTCTGGGAAGGGAAGGCAAGGAAGAATTTTTTTTTCACTTGTCCAGTTTTTACTCACAGTCCATTGAGCTATAGGATTTCATTTCAGACTCTCTAAGTTAGTCCTCAATGATGAACCCTCTCTTTATCTTCCTTCTTTCTGAAGAGGTGTTGACATATATGTGAAGGGTGTTATAGCTTGAGATTACTAAAGAAAACGAAAGGGGGAGGTGAATCAGAGTATATATCCTTCATTCTAAGAGACAAAAAAAAAATCAGCATGTAAGTCTTGTCCTTACCACTAATTCTCTGTATGGCCTAGAACTAAATAGTCATATGATTTTTCTGGATCTCAGTTT